GAAGTACATGAGATATTAACTCTTGGTTTTACCTTGCTCAAAAAATTGTGACCGTCTTTTTAAGTTTTTCAAAGAAATAGGTTCAGATGCTATTTGAAAAAATACAAAGAATACGAACAAGTCAACGAGGTGCTGTCTTCTCCTAAGTTATCACCACCACTGGATAACAAGCAACATTTGTTAGACCTCTGATCTACAGCACTGGCACTTCAAAACACCTGGAGCACAGAGGAACCCTGATCTTTCATAACAAGAAATAGTTTTTAGTAGGTTACACTATATACTGGTTAGTATTTCACACTGGCACTAACACTGTCCAACTAGGACAACAGGACAAGGGTCCCACAAGGACTCAAGGCTCCTCCTGCCCAAATTAAGCCCCTTGGAGATACCAAATGAGGAGGCTGCTCACAACAGGCTCCATCCAAAGTCAGCAGCAAGGCATTTCCAGAGGGCAACAGACCCCTTAGGGGAAGCTCCTTCATAAACCACCAAGCGTATGCAAGATAAAATAAGAAGTTCCCTCTTAGGGTTACTGTTGCATGAGGAAGTCAACATACCTGCTTTCTCTCTCTGACATCAAGTAAGGCTAGATTTGTTCACAGCATCATGAATAATTGGTCATACCACAAACCATCAGTATTTTCTCCAGGAATAAAAGTTAACAAAACAAACAAAAATAATCCCCACATTGGAATTTGAAAAAATTTGAATATTAATTTTCCCAGATAAACAGATTGACACGCTGACTCGGTCTCTACGGAGCACTGTGGCAGCTGTAATGAACTCTGTGCCCTCCACAGCTTTCATCCCTATTCCACAGTAAATTTACAGGCACTAGTGCTAAGGCAGGGGATTCATTACCGCTTTTGTCAGCTCCCTGCCTGCCTCGTGCACCACGGAATGAACCCACCCCCGGCCTGGCTGCAATTCCATCCCTGTGATCCCTGTCTGCCTTGCAGGTCACTACCCTCTCACTGAGCCCGCTCTATAAAGAGCTCATGGTTGTTACAGGTTTAGTACCTATGCTTGTTCCAAACCCGTGCAATTAGCAGATGAAACCAAAGGCACTTTACCTCTTTGTTCGTTAGGGCCAAGGTCTCCTTGCATCCCATTTATCAGTTTTGCGTCTGCATCCTGAAAAACAGAAAAGAACAGAAGCTGATGTAATTCTCCCACCTTCTTGGCACGTAGCAAGTTATTTGCAAGTAACTTGAAAGCATGCACACCTTCTATTCCTCCAGACTACAACCTGAATCTCAGCTAATAATGGTTGTTTAAAAAGATACCTTACTTCCACTTAGCCAAAACACAGCCTGCAGATATGTTAATACTTAGCCTATATTCATGAACAGACAGTAGTCAGCTTTTATTTACCTTAATAGTTTCATCTATTTGCATACTGCAGAACTATTAATTCCTTATAAATAAGCACAAAAACAACAAACTAGAGGATTTAAGCAATTGCATCATCGTCTCCCTGTTCCCCTCTTCTAAAGCCTTAAATCTTGGCTTTTTTCTTCCCCCACAAATACCATGACCCTTTAAACAAACTCACAGGACTTTGAAGGCTGCTGGAGAAGTCTCTTTTTGGGGATACAGTTGAAGTGTTTGAAACTTGTTCTCCAGAAGTTGCATCAATCCATTTATTTTCAGATGTACCTATAATGTTGGTAGCCATACTGGTGAGATTGAGGATTTTATGCTTTACATGTGGCAGGGAAGGCTGGTCTGTGCCCCAATCTTTTTGGTATGTGGAGATCAAGAAATTAACATAGACAGTAATTCAAAGAACAGAACAAGAGTTAGAGAAAACATTCAAATAATACAAACACAGAAAACAAAACAAAAAGACACATAACAAAAGACAGAGACGTACAAATCAGGTAGAATTTGCAAAGACAGAAAAAGGGGCTTTTATGAGCAGACCGCCTTCCCCAAAAATACATGGGTTAGTCAAAGCTGGATAGAAGTTGACCAAGAGGCATTGCTGACAGACTGCTGCTGCTCACCATTACCAAGAGTTAGTAGTTATTGAAAATTATTCCATTAGTAAAAGAAACAAGAAAATGCTCCCAACTTCAGTTCACACAAGGTACATTTTGAAATAGAGAATATTGAGGGAAAAAGGTGTCTTTCATGTCCACACTACCCAGGAAAGGCCAAAAAAGGCTGTCCGAACTGAACTGGCAAAATGAGGGGACAACAAGTCATGAGCTCAATCCTACCACCACCACTCTTCAGACTAACTTCAGTCTTCACCTGTGCCCTCTCTTCCTCACCCTACTGTTATTTCTACTTCCTGATACCCTATTCTACCTATCTCCCACTAAAATAACTGCATGTCATTATATTCTGAAGGAACTCATTGGTCACACTTGGAACGCTGGCAAACGTGACTATGAAGGGGTCCCTGATGCACCCCAGGCCGTGGCTGGGGTCGCGACGAGGCCTTCAGCCAGGATGGGAGTCCTCACTCACCCGAGTGTGCAGTACCGTACTGAGAGGTTACGGCATCACGGTACTTGGGTCAGTGGTCAAAATCAAAGGGCAGGAGGAGCTACTCCAACTACAAGCTTGTTGGCCGCCAACACCCTTTCCTAGAAGAAAGGTCACGAGATCCTCATTCCCTCAAGAAAGGAGGGGAGGAATAGAGTTGTTCAAGAATTACTGTTCTCTAGGGAAGGACCCTACTTCCTTTGGGTGGTGTAGCAGGAGAAGTATTTCCTGTTCCCTTGTGCACCGGTAGCACAATTTAGCTGTGCCTTCTTTTCAGCACAGGCCAGAGCATAGGAGAGGTCAGTAATTTAAAACTCAACAAGACTCACTTGTGTGAAGACACATGTAATGCAGAAGCAGTTAAAGAAAAAAACAGCTGAGTTGTGTTAAAATGCAACAAGCACTAGCAAACTACTTAGCTCAGATACATGCTACTCCTGTAAGGGAAATAAGGACTCTGGGCTGTCACACGCCACAGACACAGCTTATTTGCCTTACAGAGCACAGGTATCTGCCCTGCAGAGGAACTCACCATTCTTTCCATATCGTCTGACATCCATGACCAGGTTTCCAGTTTCTAGTGCTCTGGCGATGGCTTCTTCCCACTGACTATAGTCCATGTGGGAAACCTTTGCGCCATTGATAGCAATGATCTCATCATCTACATGCAGCTGGCCTAGTGCTGCAGGGCTACCTGCAGGGAAAAGTTATGTCTCTGTTCACAATTATTTTTCTCTCAGTTGGGAAGGGGAGGAAAAAAAAAGTGCAAAAAATTTAAAAAGTTTACTGCGCTGTGTTTAAAGCCAGTAAACTCTGTTACTACCAAGATAATGTTCAATATTAGCCTCATGAAAAAGTGGCAGAAGCTTCAGAGACTTTTGGATTTGCAAATATTCACACGCTGTCTGAGCTCGTTTAATAAATGGGCCCTGGCGTGCCTACTCCTGCCTTCACTAACTCACCTTTATAGTCTGGAACAGTGAGAAAAGGGCAGCCTCACAGTGTCTGTGGCCAACGCTACCTGAAACCCAGCCAATGTTTGGGTAATCCTCTTGTTTGTCTGAAAAATAGACTCTACTTTGTTAGCTCCAGCATAAACTGTCTTTCTTATTTACTTTCAGGGCTCTGCTGACACAAATACCCTGCTCCATTGCTTTCTTAAAATAGATCGTTAGCTCTGAATCAACTGAAGATGGAACTCGCTCAAGATATTGTTGTGTGCCATATCATTAGACTTCCCTCTATTTATTTGTTGGTAGCTAGAACTCAGTGGAGAACAAATTTTATTGCAGCTTGGACTTTGAATTCCACATACATTTCACAAGACATCCTGTACTTCACTACTTTTTTTTTTCCCCCCTCATTTATTGCTACGCACTGGCAGGTTATCCCCCTGGTGTAAAGACAGTCAGCATGTAGAGATAGTTACTAAACTTTTTTTTTTTTTTTTTTTTTAATTCAGAATACTGAGACCACCAGACTTCAGTAAGATTTCATGCATGAATTGTATCTGAAGGATATTTCCATTAGCATTACTCTTCCTTAGCAGAATAATAAAAACAACACATGAAATAAGTTAAAAGTCAGACCAACTTGTATAACAATGCAAGCTTTTTCCAAAGAGGAATGAATCCATACACCTTATTTAAAATATACCAAGGACACTGCTGTATTACATTATCAGAAACAAGCGTGGACAAACATGAGAGAGGAATTTAGACCCCTCATGATTCGTCTGACCTTGTTCTGACTCACTAGAAAAATGTTATTAGAAGCCTGGATCATCTGCTGAGGATTCAGACAGATTTTAATATTCCTGGCACCCCAGGAAGTTAAGAAATGAAGAAAGGCTAGGCTTCCTAATGCTCCTACAAACCATTTCATAGTTCACAAAGCAAAACCACAGTGACATGTTAAGCACCATGTTCTACATTTTTTTTTTTTTGAAAGTACAGACTGAAAGCTCCAGTAGCGCTGAACAGCAAACTTTCAAAATATACCAATTTCAAACAATCTTATTGGAGAAAAAAATAGAGATTTTATTTTGAGGAAATAAAGGCCTGTGCAATGGCGGAATGGGAAGGACTTGTACCTCTTTAGAGCAGAGATGATGCAATAAAAATGAATAGAATTGAAGGCCAAAGGGGAAGTACTATTTTCAAAAATACATAGAGCACATTTGGAACTGATTTAGTTTGATCTCCAATTAACTAAACTTTATGCTTATGGTAAGGCATTAAAGGGACTACTTCTGGTTCAAGGAAAGAGGGCAGACGAAGTTGTGACATGGAATGGACCCTAGGAAACAAAAACGTTGGTGCTCATTTCACTCGAACAGCTTGGTTCCAGTGGCTGAGGTTGTGCTGTGGGGTGAGAACGGTGCCTCAGCAGTCACACGAGGCACACGGTGGGGCAGGGAGAAGGGCTCCCAACTCAGGTTGTAGGGAAGGAAGGGGATTTCAGATTGCACGCCTCCTCCATAGCATCACACCACAAAACCTATCCCAACCACGCACTCGAATGAACAGCTGCCGTCTCCACACGTAGACCTTGCACACACAGAGACCTTACACCACCATTTTTGGCCCCAAACTTGGCGTGCCTTCCTATATTGCCTCTGTAACGAATGACAGGGCCTTTCCAGAATGCAGTTCTGAGCATCTATACCAGGGGGATGCTTCACCCTCCAAAGCACCTCGGGTTTCACTAAGGAAAAGAGGCTCCTATAGAGTCTAGTGGGCTGTTCAGATGCCTAAAACTGTTTGGTATCAGGCCTCATCCTCTCTCCAGCTCCACCATGACAGTGACAGTTTCTTCTTGTGTATGTAAAGGATTTAGTTTGCATTAAACAAACAGAACAGTTACTTTTAAATATATGTTTTCCTGAAAGTAGCAAAGCTTTCTCTTTAAAAAAATCCTAAAACTAAAAAACAAACACCCCACTCATCTCTCACTGGCTTTCCACAGATATCCATTTATTCGTACCCTATCCCTACCTGTTGGTACTACCGTGCATTAGTATTAACTCAGATTTTTACAGTAAAATCAAAACATGAAGGAAATGGACCAAATTTATTTGGCAGAGAACATGTCTTGTATGTCTGCGAGTGTTAGATGGCAAATGTGTACTCCTCTATGTCAATGCTATCTCCATCAGGAGCTCCAAACAGGATGTGAAAAATAATGAAAAAAGTTGTCGTAAGAGCGGGGAAACTGATAAAACAATGTCAAGATTTTTCTATTTTTTCTGAGTAATTTTTAGCATAAAGGCAGAAAATGCTGAACGCTATATTCTTTTCGATAGTAAGTGATAAGTAAGATAGAAAGGAAGACTCAAAAGGTCTTGCTGAAAGCTATTTCTGGACTCATGAAGGAGAAAGAATAGTGATTTTAAACAGTCCATATGGATTTACCAATCATAAATCATGCTGACACCACCTGGTTGTCTTCTGCAATGAAGTGACCAAATCTGTGGATGAGGCAGGTGGGGGATTTACCTCCCTGACTTTAGAAAGGCTTTTGACCTGGCCTCCAACAGGTCCTCCTGGCATCCACATTAGGATGTTATGGGTGCACAACCAGATGTGTGAAAAACTGGCTGGACTATCAGGCTCAGAGTAGCAGTTAATGGTTCATGTTCTACCTGGAGGTTGGTTAGAGCCTCCAGGCTCTACAGAGATGCATCCTGGGATGTGTCTGTCTTGACACTGTAATCCATGACCAGGGGGATGAGATGAAACACACCCTCAACAAGTCTGCAAGTCCCATCAGACTGGAGGGCAGGGCTGCCCTTCAGAGCAGGAACTTCATGACATTGAACAAGGACAAATGCAACGTTCTGCCCAGGAAAAACTAACTCCTGAGGCAGGAGAGACTGCGGCAGCCCAAGGGAAGCCAGACAGGGACACCCTGGTTGGTGCTGGGCTGATTGTGAGGCAGCAACATGTCCTGGCAGCAAGGAGGGCCATGCTGGGGTGCCACCAGAGCATGGTCAAGGGGACAACAGAACTGCCTGTCCCCTTCCTTCACAAGGCACTTGTTCTACCACACCAGTAACACCCAGCCTGGGACACCTAGTTCAGGAAGGGCATTGCAGAGCTAGGCACATTCTGTTGAGGGTCAGCAGGATGGTCAAAGCTGGGGCATCTGCCCTGAGAAGAGAGGCCAAGAGACTCTTGCTCAGCCTGGAGAAGGGACAGCTTCAGGAGCCAACAGCACTCCTGGCACCCAAGGGGAAGTTGCTGAGAATGGAAAGCTTGCTTTTTATTAAGGTTCATGACAGGAAAACAAAACACCATGATCAAACTAAGACAAGGGATGTTCTGACTGGATATAAGGAAAAAAAATTAACTGGGAAGAAAACTAAGCATTGGAGCAGGTTGCCCAGAAAGACTGTGCAGTCTCCATCCTTGGAGGTTTCCAAAGCCAGCTGGGTAAAACCCTAAACAATTAGGTCCCAGTTCAGCTGCAACAATTCCTTGAGCAGGGGAGTTTGGTCTATGCCATCTCCCAAGGCTCTTCCCACCTCAACTACCCTAAGACTTACTCTTAGCAAAAAAAAGACCCCTAACACTCAGAAGTGCCCAGCTGAAAGCCTGTCTTACTCTTCCAGAAAACTGTCCACCCCTAAATAAAGCTACAGCGACTGCATAAGGACATATTAGCCAGTTATGGCAAAAATATGTCAAATGCATGCTCTGCAGTCCACCCCAAGCACTCAGTTTAATGCTTCTCCTTTGGAAGCATTAAAGCTCAGTCAAGGTGACAGTGACAGGGCCTTCCTCTCCTCCCACCCTGCAGGGCCAGGCCAGGAGCTCCTTTGGACCCTGGTGAGCGACAGGCAGGAACACTGGCTGCTCTCAGGTTTCTCAGTTACAGTTGGTAGCACAAGGAAACTGTCCTTTGCCTCCAAGTATCAAAGCCAGCCAGAGGCCTCCCACCAGGGAGAAGAGATGCAAAGCTATTCTTCAGAGAAAGCAATTAGCCATTGCAACCTAATTATACAAAGTATCCAGCTATAAAGAGAGATCTAAAAAACAGCTTCAAAATGAAAAGCAAGGCTGCTCAATACATAATGCTAAATGTACTGTTTTCCTTTCTGAAAAGCATAATGACTACCTAATTAGGACCACCTAATGACAAACTGAAAGTGGTTTCTCTTTTCCTTGGGACAGTCTTATGTTAGTTATAAGGAAGGGCACAAATAAGTATCATTTAGGTATTGCTGGGGCAAGATGCCTGTTCAGAATGCAAAAATATATACTATATACTTGTTTTAAAAAAACAAAAACAACAAAAAATTGGCTTGTCTGAGAAAAACTATAAAAGCTAGAAATAAGCATAAGTTTAATTTCAAGACGATCATATTTGTCCTTGGTTAACACATCTGCAAAAATTTCACTGAAATTTTATAATATTGCCTCCAAAATCCAACATGAAAAAGAAAGAAAGAATTGAAGTGAAAACACTAAATCCCAAGTTTCCTCTGCCTGTCTTTACAGACGATAGAAAATGAAAGCGAAGGCCAAAGGAACAACCTGCATGTTAAAACCAACCAGCCCACCCACCCCGTAGGTACCTCATACTATTGCTCTGTAAAAGTTTCAGGAAACCTTTGGGTAACCCCATTTATACTTTTGGTTACAAAACTGTCCTTGCTTCAGGAAATGCTGTTTAATGCTTCTAAACTGAACACATTTCAGGAGATGGAAATTCACAGAACAGCATTAACAAACAAGATTTTTTCTACTTTCTACCCAAGAGAAATAGAAATATATGCAAATGTTCCTTAAGTAAGAAGATAGGTTTGTATAGTTAAACAAACATTTACCTTCTTCAACTGTCTGTACAAAGGCCCCTGAAGAACTCCAGTTTGTTGTAAACCCTAAGTTGTGACTGTGGCCAGGTCTCTGGTTGATACTGATTCTCATTTCACTGTACTGCTCCTGAAAAATAAAACATGACACTACAGTATCTGGTATCGCAGGAATCTAAATGAGGGAAAGTTTATCCTCTAAATAAGTGAGGCTGCTCACAATGTGCACTTTAATTATCTACTATTCGCATCTTCTACAGAGAAAACAGAACTGAACTCCTAACTAGCTAGGTTGCTTTTAATTCAAAAAGGTACATTCTTGGTTTATGTTTAGATCACATTATTTTTCCTGTTTTTTCCTGTATATAAATACACACACACACACACATTCAGCTGTACTTTTTTTCTAATTTCACCATAAAACAATGCCACAACATACATGGAATTTGAAGAAACTAAAGTCCTAAATAAGTTGTCATGAATATCCTAATGAATTTAGGAAGTCTACTGCCTACTGACAAAGCATCAGTTAAATAGAAAGGTGAAAATGCTTGATAACAGTAATTCACCTTATTCATTCTTATACATGCTACAGAAATTTAGGCTCAGTGCTGCAACTATGTTTACTTGCATAAGCGGTCATCTTCCTAACCGTGTGAAACACTACTAGCTTGCTGTGAATTCTGCAGTGGGAGCCTTAGACTCTAAAGCTCATCACCAAGTTAGCTGGAATCCAGCTATTTCCCATGCTAACTTTCCATTCCAAGGGACTTCAAAGATGCTTTCAAAACCAGAATGAGACTTAACATTTTTATTTAAAATTAGATGAATATTTGATTTGGAATGCATTTGGAAACTCTTTCAAGGTCAAAATATATTATATGTATATAGCATGTTATGTACATTAACATTTTAATATGAAGTCTTTAGATGGCAATTAAAACACCCAAATGATATTCACTTAATCACAATGAAACAAATTTTATAAACAGGAAAAAAAATGATGACTTTTTGCAAGCACTGTTAGAACAGACAAGAGGCAGAAAAGCATGTATGGAAAAGACTGAACATGCTCATGTGCACATTCAGTACATGTCTAAATTTCAGCTGCCTGGTGAACCGATCCTCTCAAAGGGTGGGATTCATCTTCCCCAGCTTCAAATGTTTAATAGTTTAGATATTTAAGCTGGTTCCCAATATCTTCGGTTTTGGTCCTAGGAAAGAAAGGGGCATCTCCAGAAGATGTTTCACAAATAACCAGCAAGGTTATAACCACCACCTCAGGGCAGTGGCAGCTGGCAAAGGCTTTGGCAACACCTGGGCAGGGGATACCTGTGAAGGCAACTCCGCAGGGCAACATCCAGAGGCTCTCCCTGTGTTAGGGCAACGTTCCTGGCAAGCTGCACAGCCCCAGCACAAGGAAAAAACTATTAAGTCATTACTTCAAACCACAGCTATTAGCTTGCAAAAACTCTATACTGCAAACTCTATACTGTGATTTTTTATTCTATATAATGAAACTCATTAGGTGCAAGACAAATGTTAGAAGTTACCATACTAATAGCATGCAATGCATGAGTATATCCCAAAGCTTTGGAACTTAATAATGATTTCCAGGAACATACTCATTTTCATTTCCAGCATCCCAAACCAGCTCTTCAAAACTACCTTTTGGGAGAGGAGTAAAGCTACTTGGGGCACTGAACTTCATTTGGGCAGGTCCTCTCAGACACTCAGTACCCACCACACCTGGCATACTGCCCTGAAATTAGTGACCTATGTACCTCAAGCACAGCAATGGTTTACAAACATGCCAGATGGAACTTATATTCCTTAAGTTACAGGAATTACAGGTTGTCTGATGCATACCACAAGCATGCATGCATATATATTTATAAACATACTCCCCATTTGGAAGCAACAATTTATAATCTCAAAACCACTTAGAGATAAGATGCATTTAGCTTTCATTTTACTCATACAGAAGTGATACAAAAGAATCCACATGTGATCTCATTTTTCCACTGCTTACAATCCCTACTTGTTTATCTAAATGCTAACACAGGAAAAAAACAAACTTTTTCCTTATACAGTAACCACAGTTTCCACAAACTACTGTAACTGCATTCTGGTAGCTAGTCAGGTACCTCAGATATCATGAATATTAATCTGAAATCCATTCTTTTTTCCATAGTTGATCAGGGGCAAGAACGGTTCAAAGTGACTAACAAAACACAAAAATAACTCGTGTATGAGCTATTTCATAAATCAACATCCAGGGTTTTATGAACCTCAGCCAAGCAACTGCCATGATTTGCACAGCAGCACCAGGAATGCAAGGAATTCAACTCTAACCTAGCAAGGGGCATGAACAACATCATTAGTGACTGCAGGAAGGTACCAGCAAAGTTACTGCTGTTCATTTATTAAGCTTTTGAAACATGAGATCAGCTGGAGGAAACAGCATGGGAAGATTCCAGAGCTCTGAGGAAACACTAAAGGCCCAATTGGCAGATAAGCAGATACACACAGAAATGGTGATTTGTTAGTGAAAATACTGAATCTAAATAATTGTAGGCAAATAATTTAAGAAAAGTATCTTGACAATTATTATTGTTAGCAAAAGTATCTCAAAGTATCTCATAGCAGAGATAAAAGGAAAATTTAACTGTTTAAGGTTGGCTTTCAAAAAGCGGATCTTTATTTTCTGCCACCAGTTTGAAAGTGCAAACGGATGGGACGAGTAGCTTGGATTATTCACCTAATTGACAAAACTGGTTTTGCCAACAGTGTGCTAATTTGGAGAGTAACATGAAGCTGACAAGTACCAAACTGAACATTTAGAATGAATTAAACACACAACAACAAAAACCACACAAGCACAGTACAGAGAATACAGAAAAAGAAACAGTATCCTATTTCTTGTAAATTATCTGTTATAAAGTAACAGTTCTCTGAGCTGTTTAACACTAGTGTGATATGTACTTTTTTTTAAGCCTATGTTGCACTGAGTTACACTAAGTAATGACAAATTTCACACTTACCTGCGTTTTTGAATCCTCGGGCTCTGGCAGACTCGCATTTACTGCGGGAGATGCAAGTGAAACAGAATCAGGAGGAGAACAATAGTCTGATTTAAGAATATAGCTTCCAGCATCTTGGTCTTGGGATTTAACAGATATAGGAGCAGGGGTTGTGTTAACACCTTCATTCTCCTCCTCCTCCTCACCTTTGCCTTGGAGTACACTTGTGGAAAGAGGGTGTGCTGAGTCTGGTTGTGAAAATGAACTGCTAGTGAACAAAGTTTGTGTTCTCTTAGTTTTTTCTACTTCTCCATTTAATTTCTGGGTATCATCCATCTAGGACAAAAATGACAATTTGGTAAGTGTATGCTTAATAGAAAAAAATCCTTAATTTTTCAGCAGCCTAAATATTTAACACAAAATAAGTCTCTCCTTTTCATGCAAGTTCTGGTCACTATACCCATCATTAACTATTCATTTGAAAAAAAGAGCAAGAAGTTTATTCCTTGAAATGCATGCTAACATATAATGCAAGCTTATTAAATGTGTTAAAAGTCATATGCTTAGAAGGATTCACATTCTTACCCCTTATAGAACTGAGCCAACTAGGGATTAATGAAAAAGCTACAAAGATCTATATCACAAGGGAGAAGAAAAAAAGAGGCAATTTCTGTTCTTCAGTACTATAGAAGCTGCAGAGGAAATCTACACCACCTGGAAATTTGTCTTTAATATTTGATTACAATAATTTAAGACAATTATATTTGATAAAGCCTGGTTTTCTGACAGGCAGCACCTGGGAAACTTACTGCAAAGATTACTCTGCTAAATATATTTAAACTTCTTTTAAGAGCTACCTTTAAAATGGTAGCAAAACAGCAGGCAATTCTGTCATTGCTTTAGGTGTCTCCTTTCCTTTCTCTGACGGAATTGCCTACTCTGGTAACACAGCCTTCATTAAAGAGCACATGATTCTTAAAAAAAGCAATAAATGGAAGTCCACAGTCTGACCACGTATCCAAGACAGCAACATTCCCAAACGCCAGGAGCTAAGCAGAATTTTACCGTGAACGAGCGGGGAAGTGATGAGATTCCTCTCGAGTGGACCCCGAAGGGTCTTGGCGTAACCACAGATGTTAACCTGGAGGTATCGGTTTTCTGGTAGCTCCTCGGGAGGGAGGCTGAAACCCGAGCTGACCCAGTTTGAGCGGACAAAGGCGCCGCGCTCCGCTCCTGGGGCAGGCTCTGGGGCGCAGCTCCTCGTGTGGCAGCCACCGCGCTGCCGCCCGGCGCGCTCTGCGGAGCCCTGGCGCCGGGGGAGGCCGCTCTTTCAGAGAGGGGATCTTTCGCTGCCGGCTCCGCGGAGGGCGCGTGCTCGTCGCCGAACACGTCGTCGTTCAGCGAGTACGTCCATCTGCGGTCCAGCTTCGGCTGCCCGTGGCTCTCTTGGTCTCTGAGCTCCCTACGGAGACAGGATGTGTCAACCTACCAGCCGAGCAAGGCCATAAACAGGTGGGCCCCGAGCATTTCAACTACTGGAAGACCAAGGCAGCATAAACATAGGAGCTGTTTTAGAAGGAATGACTTTAGAAACTCTTTTATCTGTCTCTTAAAAGAAAAAATAATTACATCATTTTAGTATATTATTTTAATCTGCCTTATTTTTGCCCTGCTTCTGTATCGACACTTCTAATAACACTCAAGCATACTACAGTCATTATCAGCTTGCCACCAGGTCAAAACAACTCATCATCAAGAAAATGATACAGCCATTAAGCTACTCATCTTCAGATATTCAGCTTTTATTGAGGAAAGAGTTGGAGGAAGGAGGCCACATAATATCACCTGAACTCCGTGGCTTTGCTGGCATCTCTACTCTATGAGAACGTGATATGGAACTTTAGATAACAAATGAAAAGATGTCCTAGAGTGTTTTAGCTTTGTTTTTGTTTCTTTTTTTACTACATATTTCTTAGTCATATAGAAACAAAAATAATCTTTAGCACATCATTCTTTAGGTGTTGGCAACATTGGTCATTCTATATAAGCTGTACCCATAGCGTTATTCAAGCAACTTGTAGCAATTCAAGCAATTTGTATCCTCATTTACAAATAGATGCTATATGCATAACCTTTTAGCCCATTCAACTCACTTAAGTTAAAATGAAGAAAAAAGGTTGTCAGGAGGACAAATGGTATCATGTTACAAAATTTACTCTTTTACTCCTTAGAGAATCTTGGCAATCTTGTTCTGTAAATACCAAAGGGAGCAGCTGGAAATACAGTGGAAATCAAGCAAAAGTTCACAGTTCTAGGATATGCACAAGATTCTGGCTGCACTTACCCACAGCTGCTAGAAGAACAGCAAATACAATATTAGAGCAAAGAGATATAGTTGATTAAACTGAGAATTAGAAAGGCAATTATACAGATTAATTCTCTATTATTTTAACCTGTTTAAAGTGAATACAAATACTGGCTTTAATACATTTACTCGCACTTAGTTCAGTAAAATAACTTTTACACTACAAAAGTGTTTGACAACCTCCAAAAACAATGTGCTTGTGGACCATGCCCTGCCCTTCAATTACTTAGCTTTCTACACTATAATTTAGTGCTAAAATTTAGCTTTCTGCAGAAAGAATTGCAATTTGCCAGTAGAAACTTCTCCAGAATTAAAGAAATCAGAAATGATGAGAATTTAAGTACTAAACATCATGTTTCAGTCAGTTCCTTACCTCTCCTCCTGCATTTCTTTCAGTGACTTGCTAGTTCTTCCAGAAGTCTCAGAGGCTCGCCGTTGTATTTCTTCTCTCTCTTCCTTTTTCTTTTGCAGTTCAGAAGTGAAGCTCTTTCTACGATTCTTCCATTTTGCTAGATCCTGAGAGAATTACATGAATGGACAAACATCAGATTTTCTCAAGACCTCTTGCACCCTCATAGACATCCCATTAGATGCTGCCTGAACGCCAGTGTCCTTATTTGACCGGTACATCTGCATCAAGGCCATTTTTTAATGCATCTTCCCCCTAAATGATAAAGGTGTTCTTGTCTTTCAGTCAGAGGTTATAGGCCTGCTACCTGTTAAAGTTAATAAGCATAATTACTGTACTAAAAGCATTCTGTCTTGTATTTCTTCACAAACTTAAGGAAAAATTTCTTAACAGCGAGGGTAACAGAGCACTGGAACAGGCTGCCCAGAGAGGTTGTGGAGTCTCCTTCTCTGGAGATCTTCCAAACCCGCTTGGACACAGTCCTGTGCCACGTGCTCTAGGTGTCCCTGCATGTGCACGGGGCGGGGGTTGGACTAGATGACCTCTAGAGGTCCCTTCCAACCTCAACCATTCTATGATTCTATGATTTGCAGTTTTATTTCAGAATACCTCGTGTAATGACAGAGAACTAAAATCAACACAAATACCATGGGAATTTGTCATTGGTTTGAGTCCCCTCTCCCTTTTCTTTTTTTCCAATCACTAGTACGTCAGACTGATATGTCAGCTTGAGAATAACCATGATTTAAATTCTAAACTCAAAACCTATGATCCACATCTATTTTCTTTATTTCTGTAAAACCACAACGTCTGCTGGCAACTTTCTCTATGAAACACCAGAGCAGCTTTAAGATAAGTACTGACTAGAACTTCTAACATGAATTCAACAGCTACACATTGCTTGTTCAATGCTCGGTTGCTAATTGTCTAAGTCATTTTTAATCCTCACAAATGACAGATTTTAATAAAAAAGATCTTCAGATAATGTTATGAAGAAGTTGAAGGCTACAATATCTGTTTTCCAACTCAGTTTGGAGACAAAGTTAATGGAGCTGGTTCTGAGATCTCCAGAATTTACATGTGAATATATTATTTCCCTCCCCCATGTTTCCCTGCATAACCAAATACTTGGGCATTCCCATCTTTTCACAAGAACGAACTCAGAAATTTCAAATTGCACATGAAACTATACCCTAACTTGTCTTCATGGCTACAGAAATCAATTCTGAAGGTTTTATGTTGCTACTGTAAAACACATACATATATTGTAACATTAATCAAATACTTTTGATAATTTATAAAGTAACCTCAGCTCCATGCTCCCGAAATCACCAGCAGCTGTGTGAACCAATACCACTGAGTACACCCAAAATACTTTGTTCTCTAGGGGTGCTGACTATCAGCAGCGCTCAAGTCCTTCGGCACGACAGGTGAGAGCAGGAGTGAAAAGGAGTATTTACTTCTTGCCATTGCAGATCTTGTTCTTGCATCTGGCTTTTTATCTTCTGGAGCTCTTCGTAGCGGATTTTGCGCAATGACTGCAATTCCTCTGCACTGACGTCGTTCAAAGACTTGCTCCTAAAAGGAGAAAGGGTATTCAGCTTTTCTACGTATTAGCCATCGTTCACGCAAGCGATCCTTCGAGAGGGATTAGCGTTAGTACTAATAAGCTCTCTAAAGTGTTAATTAGAAACAAAGCAAGGTACACATGAGCAGACAGTTGAGCAAGCCTGCTACAGCAGTAATGTATTTGAGCAAATATAGTCAGGGAAAGGGAAGAATCAGCTGCTTCCACAGCACTGTAGTGAATTCACACTGATCATCACATTGAGCTTCTCATGTTTGACTAAGACTTCTGCTTAAACTTGTTAGTATTTATTGATTCATCTACCTAATTTCTTTTACCTGAAAGGCTTCTCTGTTCCCCTCAAGTCTGAATTCTCGCTCATTTGTTCTCTCCATCAGAAGCCCCAGCACCATTTTACACTTTCTTAGTGAAACACACCTCTAAAACCCAAGTTTCGGTCCCTATTAAGTGGCCACTTCATTCATACCCTCAGTCTCACACACCTGCTCTGCACCTCTCCAAGCCTCCCTGCCACTTCCAGACCAAGTCAGGATAGAACATCACCACCTTCTCACCGATTCCTCCACAGATACCCCCATGACAGTCCACTTACTAGCTCCCCTTCACACAAATTTCTCAAAACTCCCTTTTCCTCCTCTCCTTTTCCCACATTCCGACTGATCTGGTATAATGGAAAAATCAGGTCAAAACCAAACTGCTGCAGACAGGGTATTTAACTAATCTCTTGCATACTAAGACAGCTCTTAACTCACAAGCCAGTTTCTTTAACTTCCTCCCAAGAGGCCCAACTTACTTTCACTGGTAACAGAAGACTTTGGACTCTGGCCTCTAGAAAGAAGGGCTAAGGCAGTAACTCATTATTCCTGCTCAGTTGTTTATTTTTTGAATGGGAAGAATGCCAGATTTAACAAAAATCCCATGGTCACTATTGCAGAAACTCTTAAGCAGTTTGCTATCCTTTCCTCCTTTTTATGGTTAAGTTGCAACATATGTAAAAACAGTTCCAGGTAACAAAACTGTACCTAAGTATCAGAATCATTCCAGATTTGTTCAAGCAAACTTGAATGACTAGAGTTCCCTTTTCTTGCTGTTGACTTCTTTAATCTAGACTTACAAACAGTATATCCTAAAAAAGCACCAAGGAGTATGTTCATTTTAAATGTAGGCTTAGGCTTCATCTCAAATTTTCCAAGTCCCCCTCCTCTAACATTTAGCCTCTTCACAAAACACCCACATTTCTTGCTTCCTCTGGCAATATTCAATCATGTGCAGGGTTTTGCCTCAGGGTAACAATAATAAAATAAAGGTGAGAGATTATATAATTGATTTCAAAGAGTGACCAAGGGAAAATAAAAGCTAGAACACAAATGTGAAATGCTGTCAGATAATAAACAAAAAAAATACATCTTTCAGCTACAACAGATTCTATTCGAGACAAAAGTTAATATGGCCCTAACTGGCAGGTAAATGTGTTTACCTCTCTGCATTCAAAAAAATAGAGTACATAAGATAACCATAAAATATCCATAAGGCTCAGTACTTTTAACAGAAACCAGAGCAGAATAACCCTGAGAACTCCTGCCATGGGGCTTTTTTAATCTCTGTTCAACTGCCACCCTCTATGCTCCTCTTAATCGAAGAGTTACTAAGAGCTCCAATTAAACTCTAAAGTTGGTATTAGTTTCAGAGCAGAAACATTAAATACAAAGTAACAACTGCCAAGTTAAGCTTTTCAACATTAATTTGAACTCTCAAAATTGTTACTATTTCCACCTGTCCTAGTTCAAAAAATGACATACCTTGATGTAATTTCCATCATAAATATGCATGTCATTAATTCAGAATTCATCCAGAATTCTAACTGTAAGGTCTTTGGAAGATGATTAAATATTTACTAATCTTCCTTTCTATTTCTGTTTCTTTTAAAGCCTAATTTTAAAGACAGAACTCCAAGTACAGCACTTCAGTAGCAGGAAGAGACAATATTCAAAACACCTGATAACTGGAACCGTAACTTATATATTCCAGATGCCACCTGGATCTTTTGCTAAATGTGTAGCTTTGGGTTTCTTACATTTGCTATGTGAACTGCCCATGCACAGAACAAAGCAGCATGCACAAGTTGCTTTGAGCCATAGTTTGTAGCTACTGTGCATGCATGAGAACTTAAACAGGCAAAAACAGCGTTGAGAACTTCCAAGCTTTTATAAAACTTACCCCTGCTCATCAGAAAGCTTTTGAAACAGTCTGAGAAAGCAGAAACCAAAAAGAACAGAAGAGATTCAGTGTCTTGCTTGATATACACAACAACATTAACACGATCAGTACAGCAGCCCTCACGGGGACAGGGGAACTCGAAGCGGTTGAGGAGCAGCCAGCACAGAACAGCACGTGGAGACCTGACACCAGTCAGAAACACATCAGCACCTGCATGATGTGCATGTGGGGCAGGAAAACCCTGGCAAAAGAAGGCTGCCCTTGATGTTTCCCGTCCTTCCAGGTTTAGAAACACTGCATGAATAGGAGCTTGTAGGAAGGCCGCATCACTTAGTCCAGGGGTAGGAAGCATGAAGCTCAGAAGATACTTATTTCAGGAAATTAAAGCCAACTTCTGTCCCAACAAGAAGCCAGGGTCTCAAAAGTGTTTTTCTCATCAAGTTAATTCACCCAACTAAATGAAAATAACACATGGAATGCATAAGCACAAAAGGGCTCTATATACAAGTTGAGGGCATTAAGCAGAGACCCATATACATCCAATGGGATCCAAAAGGATTTTTAACACATTTGAACATGAATTGATTCTATTGAATTAATTCTTAGAACGTGAAAACTCTTCACACATTGTGGATATATTTCTCAGTGAAGCTTGCACTTTGTTAACAGCATCTAACTTAAAAATTAAATACAGCAACACCAAAGTATCAACATAGAAGTGCCTTAGTCACAAAGCGAGGATGCACAGCTGGGAGAACTGCAACTTGCAATGCCGTATTTTCAGAGCCAAGGAAATGTTCTAAACTCCTCTCCCACAGTACACACAAAATCCAAAGGAAATCTAGAACCTGGTTCAGAATAGACTGCAGACATGGAATAGAAAGATTGAAGGAAAGGATTAGGATGGATTGGATAAAAGTGGCAAAAAATACTGGTAGAATAAGTACATCTCTGTGGATGTTACACGTACACAAACTGTGTACACACTAGGACTTATGGGGGGGGTTGAGGTCAGAGAAACACTACTGATTTTCACCTCTGGTGGCAGGACAGATTATGAGCATTCCCAGACTCAGATGCAAGCAATAGAAGGCCAATTTCCAGAATCTGTCATTAAAGATCCCTGACAATGTTGACAAAACATGTAGATGACGCACTCTGGGACACGGTTTATCAGGCACGGTGGTGGTGGGTTTATGGCTGGCTTTGATGATCTTTTCCAACCATAATGATTTTATGATTCTAACAAAAAATTCACCTATTTCAGAGGCATTCTCATTATATTAGGAAAAAACCCTCTATAACAGCCTCTATAATCTTTTGATTAATCAGTATTCCTGCTCAACCATGGAAAAAAAACTTGTATAGACTTTGGTGCTGAAGGAATCAAAACAATTTCTCTCTCAAGTGGCAGCCTAAAGCTACAAAATATCTTGCTTTTGTTGAAAATATGGTATTGCAGTCATGAACTTCTCGTGCAGGACACAACCTTTCCTCTCCACCATCTGCCGCTTCTTGTGCTTAACTTGGCTGGCTTCCCTGATGGCCTCCCACTTCTTCCAGTCTTCTTCACTGCACGGACCCGGGATGAAGTTCACGGGCTGCACGTTGCCCCCCACTTTCCAGGATTCGATCTTGCGAGTCAACATATCGTCCCTCTTGTGCCGCAAGGAGGGCGACAACACCCTGCTTTCCTCTCCACCATCTGCCGCTTCTTGTGCTTAACTTGGCTGGCTTCCCTGATGGCCTCCCACTTCTTCCAGTCTTCTTCACTGCACGGACCCGGGATGAAGTTCACGGGCTGCACGTTGCCCCCCACTTTCCAGGATTCGATCTTGCGAGTCAACATATCGTCCCTCTTGTGCCGCAAGGAGGGCGACAACACCCTGCCGCTGCTCTGCCTGTCCTCCGGCGTCGGGCCTCTCTCCAGCAAGCACAAAAATTTGGACCGAATATCTTCAGGAAGGCTCCAAGGATCAGGAAAGAGGGCAGGGTGATACTTGTCTGGAGCGCCTGACAAAGGCACCTCTTTTTTCTGAGAGAGGATTTTCCGAAAAATCATGTCATCTTTTTCCAAATCTGGAATCACCGGTTGGCCTTCTCTAGGCTGCAGAATTATTTCACCCTCTAGGGGAGGCTCCTCCTCAGATAATTTTTTAAAATACTCGGGGTCTTGGAGAACAACGTGATTCACGTGGAACGCCCCCGTTTTCCGAACAAACAGGTCATCGTTTTCTAAGTCTGGATACAGATATCCATTTTCATCATCTCCTTGCTTGCATCCTGGTACAAAGGAAATATTCCTTCTACATTTTATGAGCCTAGGGCCAGAAGTAGGATCAATTCTGGTCTTTGTTTCAGAAGACAAGTAGTCAGTGTACTTTTGCAGAGCCTGAAGTAACAAAAACTGACTGAAGCATATAAAACAAAAGGAGGGAAGTAAAATATCATTAACTAGCAAAAGACAAGCAGATTACAACGTACTGAGATACACATTTGGATCCAAGCAGTACCACTGCACCACTTGGCATTGACCAGCACAGCACACAGCGACAGCCTCACCTTCCCGAGCGGCCCTCACATGCCCCCACGAAGCCACAACCCTCCGCAGCGCGTCACCCTGTTGCACTCGCACACTGCAAGACCAGCAGTTCAAGACAACAATAAATACATGAATAAAAATCCCAAGAACGACAACTCAGGATGCAGTCTCATTTCCCTTCAATTTCCTTGCAAGGCAGCCAGAGCACAGCTCATGCAGCGGTATCAACCTGGGCGCATCAGTATCCTCCAAGATCCTGTCTTCTGCAATCTGGGAGAGTGGGTTTCCCACATATTCAGCAGTCGCCTTATAGTTCTGATCCCTCCTGCAACTGCTGTTCCACTCAAAGCTTGGTCTTGGTTGATGGCCAAGAACGGCAGAGCTTGGTTTATAAGCAAAATCCTCATCCTCAGAATCTGATTTCTTTCTACTGTGCAGCAGCACAAAGAAGGAAAGAGGAGGAGAAAATATAGTAATTGAGTAAAACGCGCGGTGCCAATGGTGCAAGAGTTGAATGGAAATAATGCCTCAATTTTTTCCTTGAATAAGAAAAGACACAAAAACAGCCTGCTGCTACACAGGCAACAAAAATGAAAAAGTTGTGAAATCACACTGCATTTACAGGTTTTGCACACAGAGAAACAGGAGCATGCATAAACACGCACCTGAACCCTTGAATCTCTTTATACCAGGGTTTGAAAGAGGATTTCCTGATCTTTTTCCACATCAATTCTTCTTCTGGAGTCCAAAATTTAGGAAGAAATTTGTCAAAAGAAACCACTGTGCTTGGTGCTGACGAACTTAGCTTGCGGAAATAGAGATCATCCTTTTCAATGTTTGGGACGCCTAGTGATTCTTCTTCGTCCTCATCAGAATACCCAGATAACTGGGAAGCAAGGTTAGCTCTTGGCTTGTTTTCCACTTTAGTATCCAGCTGCCTCTGGCTCCTCTGGTTACTGTTCAAAATACCCAACCAGTTAAGATATTTTAGGAGCAACTTGACACAAAAATACGCAAAAAAAAAGGCATGCTTTTGGCTTAAGAGTTCAGCCTTGTGAATGAAGCTAATTAGTTCTCAATTCCATCACTGCAGCACCAAGGAGAAAAAAAAATAAAGAAAAAGTTACATGGTTATAAGAGCACCCTATTGCCTCTCCCAAAACGTCAATTTGGCAGAAAAGGCATAGTAACTTATCAGCTATGTTAAAAGGCTGATTAGAAGGCTAATTTTAAGGAGTTATTTATAGACTGCAATTCAGGTAGCACAATAGTCACTGGATCTTGGATTAGTATCTCTGACCTCAGTGGTTCAAGCATGGCAGCTAAGGGACCAGCCGGATAACCTCCCTGCGAGCAAGGCTTAGCAGGGTCATTGCGCAACACGACATGACGTCCGGGTGCAGCGGAGCTTACAGGGCCCTTCTGGATTAGAAATCTACGTTTTGCTAAGTCATCCATAACCACGTCGGGCAGCCGCCTTTCGTCTTCCGACTCGGAGTCACTGTCACTGTCATAGAGCATCCGGAGGGAAGCTGGGGTTGCGAGCCCGCTTTCTGCTCCGCTGCCTTGGCAGGAAGCAGGACTCCTTTGACGGCCACTGAGGTTGACCAAAACAGGAACAGAATGAGGACAGGGAAGCCAAGAAGGTAACGATGAAACTCAAGCCCTGCCCAAGAAGTCTCAACGTACCCATTTGCCAGTAGGGCGACAGCAATTCACTACCACACTTTGGAAACTATTAACAAAAGGCGTACATTTTATGTCTAGCTTAAAAGAGCACTGAAGATGATTTAAATGCCCTCTATTTGAGATCCGAACAACCTCAAAGAAGAACTAGTGGACTGAGTTAAAGAAACAAAAAGAAAAAAAAGCTTAACATGAGAACTCAAATGCTTTCTCTTGAATTACAACAAGAGCAACTTTAATGAAGAAAGAATTTAGGAAAGAAAACACTAGAAGTCAAGAAGCCTGCCTTAGTAAGGCTGCCCAGCAGTACCTTGAAAACGTTCCATCGGAGTCGGTGTAGACAGGACTTGCCCAGCTCCTCCTGTTGTCCTCATTCTTCTCCGTCCTTTTCTTCCGCAAGGGCGCGGGCACGTACGTGGCCTGCTTGTTTTTGGTGGGTAGGAAGCGATTGAAGTCGGTGGTGGGCTTGGGCTCAATCACCGCGATCCGGCGGTAGGACCTGTCGTCCTTGTGGGAGTCGTGCATTTTGAACGGCAGTTCGGAGTCGGTGTCGCTTTCACAACCTTAGGGAAAGGGGAGAAAGGGAAGGCACGGAAATTACTCCCTGGTTTTAAGCTTAGAGCTAGAACTTGGATTGAAAGGGTCAAGTCAGCTCCATATTTGAGATGTTTCTGCCGCAAACTTGCTGAGCTACTGACAGGGCAAGAGCAGAGGTATTTTTAGAAGCATTTTGAGAAGTCTCTCATGAAGCTGCGATAAGGTCCACCGCGCTGGGCCCGGCTGGCTGCATTCACTCCATTCCTTCCCTATCTCTGCTCACGCAGGACCCAGAGTGCTAACTCTTGCAGCAAAGCACTAAAATAACACAGCAGCTTTCAATTAAAAGCCACACTTGCCACTCAAATTTACTCACATACTGAGCTTACTGGCAAATAATTAAAAAATATGCTTGTCTCAGCAGACTCATACCCATGGCTTCCCCTGGGTATGTGTCACATGTATAGCATGGCTACAGGCTGCTTTGCTCTGATCAGATGTGCTCTGTGCAGCCTTTGCAAATAATTTTACGCCATTTGCACTGAATAAAATACAAAAGCTCACTATTTTCATAACCTTGACTACATGTTACTGTTGCATTTTAAAATTTGGAGGACGTTTAGAGCATAACTACAGAGAACAATTTCATAACCTTTCTTCTTAGTATGCTTCTTTCCATAAAAAAGCCTAATATTAAAACGAATACTAGGCTATTCAGCTTTTAACCCAAGTGAGAAAAAGCCTATTTGTACTCAATACAAAGTGAAATTGTAGACATCTGGCATCATATTGATTTAAGGAAAAGACAAGGCATGGATGCAACTGTTGCAAAGTTAAGTGATGGACATCAGGATCTGAATTCTAATCATCTGTCTGCTAAAAAACACCTACCAAATACATGTGTGATAAAGACAGCTAGAAGCTCAGCTACTCTACCTAGGATCATTCAGGAGTGCACTGCTGTGTTTCTACCAGTTGCTTAGGATCTGTATTTGCTCATCTTAAATGCAACTGCAGCAGGCTCTCTAGAGCTGCCTTTCAAGCCAATTTAGATACCGAGCACTTGAAGGCCATGCACCGTGTTCTCCTGTGCTCCAAAGACACAGATTTCAAGTGGGAAAATATACCTTCGCTGCCACCTTTCAAGGTTATATCTGATGAGAAGCTTGTAGAGGACCTCGAACCAAAGGAGTCCAAGCTATCAAAGGAGTCGTCTCTCCTATGGCTGGCGGAGGGTGACAAGGGCTCGCCCCGCTCCAGGTACCAAATGTCACCGTAGCCGCTGTCCCTGCCGCTCCTGCTCAGGTGGCTGCTCTCCTCGAGTGCCTACAGGAGCAAGTCATGCAAAGTCTTTTGCAATAGCTTACCTATGCAATACCTCAGAGTTCAAATTCAGGTATATATTTTAAGACATTTGTACACAAATAGCTTAAACAGAGACTACTGTAAAGCTCTAAAAGCTACACACACACAGCCTTGGATAGCGGGTTCAACACAAGGCAATTTCTCTCATCTCTGAATGAAAACAGAGCTCTCTGCCACCTACTAAATGAATGATCACAGGAAGGTTCCAAATTCATGAGTTTTTATTCCTCACAGTGAGTATTTATTCATTAAAGGACAACTAGGGTAACAAATGCTCTAGGTGATCCTGCTTGAGCAGGGAAGGTTGGACTAGATGATCTCCACAGGTCCCCTCCAACCTCAACCATTCTGTGACACTGTGATAATACTGGTAGCAGGAAACCCCATATGTGGTAGAAATGATTGCTTTCACAGGTCTTCAGATAGCAAGCAAAATGAACAGATTGCCATGCTCTCCAAACTACGAATAAAATTAAATCCTAACATAAGAGATTATTTAGACTTGATGATGTAACGTTTAGCAAACTACATAATATTTAAAAAAGCTTTAAAAAAATTCTTCTGGAATTTCTTACCTTAGTCAATGCTTGCCCTAGTAACTTCTCAAATGCTTTAAGATTGAGGTATGGACCATTATAATGAGGGTTACTTTGTGCTTTTCTGCCAAGCCAGTACAATGTAATCAGAACCTAGAAAAAAAACCATCAATACAAAGTTCAATAATTAGCTATTAAGAGTAGATCAGTATGAAGTTAGAAGCATTTCCACAGCAAAGTGTAAAATTCTCAACTACACCATTAGCTGGTATCTCCATTAAAATCAATTAAAAAGGGCTTGGAGAAATTTAACTCATCTCAATGAAGCAGATTTATCCAGGAAAGAAAGCTTTGCAGTGATCATAACAAGATGGCACCAATGTATATCAGATAAACAAGCAGCTGATAGTAAGGTAAGATTCACAATACCATGAACAGAAGTGCTTCAAAAATACTAAGCTGCAATCAGTGTGAAATTGTTTTAGAAATCATTAAAATAAACAAGTCTTACATTTTTCACTCTTCTGTCGGTCTCCTCTGGTCTGAAGCAAAGCAGGAGAAAAAACAAAAATATTTTTAAAATCTGACTGAAAATTCTTTTATTCAATATTTAAAGTGTTATAAGATAGAGATTACAACTTAATTTTAAGAGCAATTAGAGTCTGAAATGAAATACAGAACTGTGAATGTTCCAGAAGAAATAAAGAGCAATTAGCTTTGAATTTACAGGTGTAATTCCATACTATCATTTTCATTTCACATGAAACAAGACACCAGCTGCCCTACTACAGTCTGTGATTTCGCAGGAATTATAACCCAGTAAGAACTTTCTTTTTAAAATTTGCCAAATTTTTTAGTTACCAGTAAAATAAAAGTGAAAAGCAGCTAATAATTTTGGTCATGGTCAATCTCTATGAACTCTCTTGGCTGCAGACTAAGATCTTCAGCTCCCTATGTTCCCTTTTTTTCCCAGCTATGACATTTTCTGAAATATTGGTGTCAATGTTTTAACCAAGCAGAAATTTTCAGACAAAAACTGAGCAACTAAAACGGGGACACCAGGGCAGAGGTATTGCAGGCTTGGAAGGAAGATTTGGGTTGCTTTTAAGCAGGATGTATATTTCTAAAGGGAAAAATAGAACACCTTAAAGAATGCAAGTATTAACATTGGTAAGTGTTTTTTTCTTCTCTAATTTACTCATTTGTGGTGTGTTTCCTCAGTGCACCCACACGTCCTTCCCACATGCGGGCACCAGTGCTCAGTCTGCAGCTATAGGTGTCCCCAGCCAGGCCCCAAGAGCAGCTGTAAAACCCTCTCACCAGCATCACCAGCAGGTCAGGGAGGCAAATCACTTCCCCCACACTTAAATGACACTATCAGCAGCAGACACCGCTGGTTTGACACCATGGGAATTCACAGAAAGCTAATATGCAGCAGCAGAAACACCTACACAGGATCTGGTAATGGATCAGACCAATAATTTATTAGGTCACCTCCTGTTCCCAGCTGCTTGGGAACAAGTTGATTAAAAGTTGTACAGGAAAGTTATAAGAAATTGGTCGGGGGCAGTCAGGAGGTGGCACGGCCACAGCAGGACCAGGGCAAGGTCACTGATGGAAACTCAATGCAGTCTATTAACTAGCTGGGACACAGAGCTCCCCTCCTACCTTCTTCCTCATCTGGGCCAGCCTGCTCTTCTCACCCAGCTCAACAGGGAATGGGCATGGTAGGTCCAACATCACTCGCAAATCAAGTTGCCAGTAATATAACGTCATGAGACATCTGACCCCCAGCATCCCCACCTGCCACTTCCTTAACATCCCATCCCCCAGATCTTGCTGCTTCTGCAGCAAGCAGCCTATATCCTATGGATATGGAGGAACACTTTTCCTTTAATGTGAAACATTTACATCTATTTTCTACTCTCCTTTCCCAAATACCTTGTTGCCCTTGTTTTAAATAAACTTGATACTGAAGAAATTATCCTTCTCCCTTCCCTCAGCATTGGGCATTCCTCCCAGATGTTCACGTTGTGGCCCGCTGTGGCTGCTACCCGATGTGCTGCTTGCACACGGGTGCTATCAGTCCCGTTCCAAGCAGAGCACAGGTAATAGTTTTCCTAGCGGTTGCATCACTAGTACACTTTCTGCAGCTGATGCAGGGCACATTTTAAAGGTTTATATGCTTCAGGTTCAAGATCCTGGAAGCTTTCTGCAAGACAGGACTTCTGCTTTTGTAATTGCAGACAGTGGGAGAAGTCACATACACGTCACTCTTTCATCAGCTAGAGCCTGTGTTCAAGTGTGGAGTCTGCTTCTCTGGAGATCTTCCCAACCCACCTGGATGTCACCCTGTGCCACGTGCTCTAGGTGTCCCTGCTGGAGCAGGAGGGTTGGACTAGGTGATCTCTAAGTCCCTTCCAACCTTAACCATTCTGTGACCCCCACCACAGCCTCCTTTCAGGTACTGGTAGAGAGCAACAAGGTCTGCCCTGAACCTCCTCTCCTGCAGCTAAATAACCCCGGCTCCCTCAGCCGCTCCTCGTAAGGTCTGTGCTGCAGCCCCTTCACCAGCTTCGTGGCCCTCCCCTGGACCTGCTCCAGCACCTGAATGTCCTTCTTGTAGCGAGGGGCCCAAAACTGAACACACACTCTCCTTCTCTGAATCAGGCCTATTAGTCTCCATCTTTAAAGCATCTTGCCACAATAGATGCAAATTTACTACAAGAGCAAAAGAGCCTCCCCACTGCCAAAACTCCTGGCCTACAGCCATCACTTCCTCCTCTGGCTAGGACCATGATGGTCTCAAGTAAGGGAGGGAGAAGTGGGGAGTGAAGGGAAAAGGGAAATAATTCTGCATAATTCATGTGTTGTCCTGGAATTTGCGTAGGACATAAGCCATTATAATTCCTGCCTAGCAAAACTGAGTAAAAAGGCCATGCTGCCGTCTGACAGGAAGGCTGGGGAGGTCACCAGTTACCTAGAGACTTCACAGCTGCCTCCCCTCCACGTGTTTGCACCTTGCAGAAGATGCACTTTGGATCCACTGGCTCCAAAACCTCCCACTGCCTTCCTGAGTGAAACACTGTACGTGTACATCCTGCCCAAGCTCAAAATACAGCTCTGAGTAATGCATGCACAAACCACTGCCTAGTTACTATCCAGAATATCACATCTAAAAGAGTCTGGAAAATGCCTACTGGATACACATGTGCTGCAAACTCAAAGGGATCTTTTAACATGAATATTTGCTTTTGCTTGTCAACACCAACTTAAAAAAGGCAAGATTTCAGCTGAAATGCAATAAATGAGTGCAACGTGAAAGACCTAATCAGATGAAAGGGAAGTTGCCCTTAATGAAGTGCTCCCCTCAAAGTGCCAGTACAATGCAGTACCACACAAAGCATTTGGTTGGGATCTCATCCATAGATCCCAGCACCTACGGTTTACACCACCACAGCCAAGGTGGAAGAAGTCACAGGCAGCAGCAGTGTTTTCAGAAGCATGTTACGTTGGGTGACGCTTGTGAAAAGGCAACGATCTGTCTCCCCCGACAGCCCCTCGCTACCCAGCAGCATGCCCAGCTGCTGCTCTCCTACCTCCAAGCAGGCCCAAACCACCCAGTTTCTCACGCTGTGTTTGAAGGAAGAAAAAACAAAACAAAAAACACAAAAGACATTTGAGGATGAAAGGTAAGAACTTCAGCAACGTGCCCGGTAAGCTTTTTAACACTGCTGGATCTTCATAATTATTTCAAACACACACGTACAGGGTCAAAATGCACACACAACACTAATCTCAAATGTTTGTCCTACAAAAGCTGTTTTAGAAACTGAAAAGGTAACCAACTTCCCAAAGTACCTTCACCAATGCAAATAAACAGCAGTCCTATAAGGGACAGTTATGAAGTAGTCTGCCTTTTGGTGTTTTCTTCCAAAAATCATGATGGAAGATGACGCACTGGCACCTAGTCAGTACAGATAATGCTCTTCAGGAATATGACTCTTCCAAGTAATCAAATTAGTGGCCTGAATAAGCGATGGGCAGTGTGCTGAAATTTAAGCAGGATGCTGCTGCTCTGCAGGGTACCAAGGCTGCACCTAAACATCATCTACTGAAGGAAGGGTGTTCCTGTGCAAATGACAACACACCACCAGCTACCCAACCACTTCATGTCACTTCAAGCATTACCTTCTGCTTTTCCAAAGGTTTCTACAGATCTCATTTCACTAAAGATGTCTGAACTAAGCAAATGAGAGCAACTAAGCTAGTGAGAGCAGGGAAGATGTAGAGGGGAGAAAGAAAAAAAAAAACAAACAAACCCCCCCAACCCACTCCTAGTGTGGTATACAAAACTCTTAGCATCCATTTTACAGTTTAATGGAAAGCTGATCCTTCCAGTTACCTAATCAAATCCCAACAACTGCTTAAGAGGCCCCCTGAATTCACGCAGTGCAAATTATAATGCACAAGCTTTGAACCTTAGTAACTAGCAGTGCTTTCAATAAAACTTATCTGTAACTTGAAGGTCGGCCATGCTGGGAAATGCCTATCAAAATGCCTATCTCCAAGCAAGAGAGTCTAAAGGCCACGCGATAACAAACAACGCGGTGGGGGGGTATTGTTGTAATCATGAAGCACAATTGTAAGTTGACCGCTGAGTCAAAATGCTGACAAAATCCATACAAAAATATATGAATTCATTATCCATGGAAAAATAATGCCTTCTGAATAAAGCATCATTTCATCTACGTCAATCATGTAGCAAATGGAACGAGGCAAATGAGACAGAAATAGCTCTACCTTGTTGGTAGATGATAAACTTAGATTACACCAAAGCAACTCGGTTACATTTGAGAAAAGTGTCATTTCAGGAACACCATTTATATACAACCCACTCAGCACCGACCAGCAAAAGTTACTTTAACGAGGACCAGCACACAAGAATAAGACACAGTGATAGGGCAGGCCAGAAGGCTGAGTTGCAACTGGAGGAATTTATTCACAGTTCGACTGTTTGCTCAAGGTTAAGTAGCAAAATTAGTCACTAAGGCCGCAGCTTGACAACACAAAGGCTTTGGCAACACTTCTGCCCTCAGGATTTCCTGCTCTCCCTTCCCTTGGAGCCACTTGTTTGCTGCACCCGTGGTTATGCCAACACACGCTGAATCACTCCGCAGCTCCGCGCGGGGACGCGGGACCGAAGGCTGTGCCAACTGCTTTGTTGGGAGCTAAGTGTCCCCCTTTAAAAAAACCCCATTTTAAGTCACTCACCTGCACTACAGCCCAGTCCCACAGAACAACTGCCAAGGTCCTGCGCTTGTCACAGCAGGAGCTTTCAGGAAGGGGACACCATGAGGTACTCATGTACTCAGCTACTGATGCCTCGCTTTGAGGAGTGAGGAAGCTGGTGAGCATTATTTTAACATAATATTTTTAGACACCCCTTGAAGATTTTAAAATTAATTTTGAGATTCTAAAAATGGTTTACAAAATAGTCACCTGGCCTGTACACTACAGTATTTTAAGGAACCACAAACTA